GAAAATATATTAATTTTATACATGTTATTGAAGTTTTAAATTTTACCTGTTATTATCATCTCAATTCATCATCTTTTAAGTAATACTAGTTATGTTTGGATTAATGCGACAAAGTAGGAGTAATGATAAAATTAATGCAGTTAATTGATGTTATAATACTCTGAGTCCAGCTAAAGAAATCATGTTTGAGGGAATAGAATTGAAATCCATATTTTTATAGTTTTCTTTTTTTGGGATGTTATTAATTAAGAAATAAGCTTGTATAAGATATTGTTTGAAATTTTCTATGGTTTAGAGTTGAGAGATCATCTTTTAGCTTTGTGAATAGTAATATATTGGTCATAAAAAGAATAAAGGTTAAATATTTCTAAAACGATATATATATATTTCATTACCGGTGCTTTTTCTAAAAAAAAATAAGACGTTATGGAGCTATTTATTGTTCACTGAACGATTTGTATTTCTTAATGAATAGGCATCAATTATACCTTCTTTCTTGTCTTTGTAATAAACTAGATTGAATTTAATTGTAGGTGATACTAACTGAAGCCTGGCACGTAATTTTATTTCTATTTGGTATCGCAAATAAAATCTGGACTAATGATTATCGTGGAGGTTGCATCAATTGCATGCTTTCTTTATTTATTTTAAACTCTAGTCGTAAACTTTAAATATTTTCAATGAAATCTATTTAGTTATTTATCATTTAGTGATTAAAGTCAAGGATAAGTAAATATGGTTCATGAAAAGTAATTGTCCATTATTTCCTATTTGATTAAATTTAGGAAAGAAATAGAAATACTCTTAGCTAGCTGAGCGTAATATCATGATTTTATACATTATTTTAATATATCATAATGTATTTACCTATGCATTTTGTTGAAATTTTCGGAAGATTAATTGCGAATTAGCAACTCACGATCTTTAATGATTAACCGATACCCGTTGGCTTTAGTTTCTGTCAGATTTAATTATCACTATATATTTCCAGTTTGTGCCAATTTGAGTATGATGAGAAACGCAATGATAGGCTACATTATTTATGGCTACATCAGTTAGTCTTTGATAGTTATAGTAGATTCCTTACTGTATTTGTAACTATGCATGAATATTAGTGTGTGCCAATGTATCAAATCATGTATCGACAGCTTAATAGACCGTTACGGTGCATGCGAAGCTCCATAAATGTTTAGTACTTTCCAGATGCTAATTGACTGAAGCTGTATACAATTAATTAATTCTATATTGCTAGAAAACAACTCATGATTGTAATTTACTACTTTCATTATTTATATCTGGGTTAATTGACCATGCTTAATTGTGCCGAACGCTACTTTATTATTGTTAATATAAATTTCTAAGATGGAGAAAATTGTTGACACTCAAGGTTATGAGCTAATATATATCGTGTTGAGTGCCAAGTACTAATTAGTTCTTAATTGATTCATAACTAATTTCAAATTCATTAAGATTTTTTACATTCTATTTCATACTGAGACCTTATAGGCATCACTTATACTATAGTAGATTGATTCTATGCTAAAGTTTATCTGGTATGCACCAGGATACTTTTACGAGAGTATAAAAGGAGCCGCTGTTACGTGCTAAGAGGTTCTGAGTAGTCAGTCAGTCATGAATGTTCTTCCGATCTGATCTAGTGTCACTGACTTGAGTTTATATCAGCCTTAGTTATCAAGGTCTTTACTGTGTTTGATAAAGCTTTATTATCACTTAAGCCAGCTAAGGTGTGCTACTTAGATTGTCGTTAAGGTTAAACTACGGTATTCAGTATTACATTAGGCTAGTCAATACGTTAGCTGGTGCTCTAGAGTAAGATCTCGTGTTACAATCTAAACCAGCTTATGACTGCAACATATACATTATAGTTATCGCATTTAAAATTTGTGAATTTTAAAGTATACGGTAAGTATTCATTAGCGCTAGGCAAAATATTTTAATACTACACTACCTGATTTATAAACGAAAATTTGATTCGATGATTTAACTTGTTAGCGTAAGTTTAATTTATTTTATCAGCTGCGGTCTTCTTGTATGAAATTTAGAATAGATTATGAAACGTAACTTCAAGGGATCACAAATTAAAAATGCATTCTTTGCATTCTACAAATCAAATTATATAATTTGAGGGGAATTAATATTGCATGATGGATAGTAGGAAATTTTAAGATATCTATTAAATGCAATATAAGCGTTAAGATACTAAGTATATCAATTTGGCATTTGGCAATTGCGTAAACCGACTTAATGTCACCGGAAGGTCCGTTAATGTACGTCTGTATAGTATATCACATGTAGGTTATTTTGAATGGCTAATTTCTATCAAAACTTCCTGATGGACAAGAATGACTGATAATTTAATTTATCAGACAGTAATCCCATATCTACAATCATTCATCCGCGGCCATTGTGATAGAAAGATACTCTATACTACCGGTCCCTCATCATATCGTTTGGATTTAGCGTTGCTAAGTATATTTACTAATTAATCTGTGAAGATACGATTACTTTTTGCCATGCGAAATTCTTGCGGACGTTTTCTGTACAACAGTATTAATTAATCATTGCGAACGTTATAAAATAATTATATTATGGAAGCCATGCTAAAAGGGGATATTTATTGAAATTTCTTATTTTGTAGATGTATCATTAAGGATTCTGAATTTTCAGTCTCGTTCTTTCAAAATAAAGATACCTAAATAGTATAATTGCAATCATATACCATATACTATCATATATTAAATGAGTAGCAATGAAGCACAGTAATAAATTAATTAAAAAATTATCCTTGTACTGTTCACGATATATTAGATATTACTTTAAAGTTTAAAGGTTTAATATAACGACAAAAAATAATTTATAAGATTACTATTTCTGTTAGTTTGTAGCAAAAATACTATGTTGTAATTTATTGCTAGTATTTTAGGCATGAATTTTTGAGGTATCTATTAACTATCTAGCATTAATGTCAGGTTTATATTGCGTGCATTACTTAAGCCAGAAAAGAAGATTATATATTAGTATATAGTAGCATCTTGTATAAGTTATGTTAAATTGTCCTCATAGAATTTAAGCTCCTTTAAAGTCGAATAATGATAATTTATCAATGTTAGCCACCGACGAAAGGTATTTAAGCTCGGCAGATCATTGAATAAAATCAGTTCTCTAGCTTTGTAACGAAGAAGCAAAGGCGTCTAAGGTCTTGTGAGTAGATAAGAAATACTGAATCCGAAAACTTCGGAAATTTAGAGATTTGCTTTTACGTAAACTTTGTCGCAAAACTAGTTTGTGACAATCATATGCAATCAGTATTTTCAAACAATGTCAAGTTATATTATCGACTGAATATGAGGCAAGTCTTCTCATCGAAAATTACTTCGTAATATTAGATACCAGTAATTTAATTTAGCCATAATTTTGTGTGTAGCAGTACGACAGCTTTATGTATTTATTTCAGCTAAGCATATCTCGAAAACAATTAACATTTACGATTTGCCCACAATTCATTGTGCAATCTCTGATGATTTCAGTTGACTTTACGTCTTAAGAGCAGGTGTAGCTCCTGCCTATTTGTTGCTCAGCCGCGCTATATTAGATTAAATTAGGAATCGATTGTCGCAGAAGTATTAGGTTTATTAAGTAATGATGGGAAAGCATATTTTATGACTACTCTGAAACCCAGGTAATTATAATTGATACCAACTTATATTATGGGCAAACGCCACTTTATTTCAATTTACGCAACATTTCTATAATAGTGCTAAATTTTTACAAGTGAGGACTACATGATAAAATCCTGTAGATACTTATAGTAAGGTAGAATAGGTTAGTCGTATAAGTTTACCTCGTATGTTAAAAGAAATAACTAACTGGCCTAAATTGCTATTATGATAGTATATAAAAGCTCAGCATGAGTGCACTACTTGTTACCGTTCAGTATATTTGACGTATTGTATGAGAACTACGCCTTTGCGGATGCGGGAAATTCTCAAGGTACTCCAACTAATGTACTAATTGGACTGCTTCTACTGAAATGATCAATACCTGACCGATATCTGTTAGTCCTGGGTTACTCTTTATTTGAGACTAAGTAATGATCCACAACGACGTTGAATATTATTTGACCTTGCGGTCTAACTGAGATAATACAGATCCTGATGAATCTTACTACTGAACGTGACTAAATCGAACAGCGTACACGATGGCGCTTAAACTTCTCAAACAATTATAATTACTTATAATTTACGATAACTGGCAATTACTAACTGCAATCCTGATGAGTTGACTGACTAGAGTCGAATCACTAAAACAAAAACCAGCAGCTGTACCGTTGTGCAAGTCTTTAAATATTATGAATACCGATGTACTGGATTACTACGCGCTAGCGCGGTATGACTAACTATCACAAACCGATCCGAACTGTATTCGGTCAAAATTATAACACTACTAATAAATAGGAAAAGCTGTTAGAATATTTTTTTAAGTTAAAATATCTTTTAAGTAGTGATAAACCCAAATATTTAACACGAAGCAGTACTAGTACAGCTATTTTAGAGTGATATGGTAGACTTAAATTACTTTACGCCATCGTTTTGCTAATGCAATTATTTTAGACTATAGTATTAGTAAACAATCTAGGATTTAAGCATATACGCTTATAGCGCCTTTGCAAGCCAGCTTTACAGCAAGAATAACGAAGAAACAAAACCTTGTTTATCGCATTTTGGTGAGTTGCTTGCAGTATCATTTAGCATATAATAAGTCTTGTAGTAACTTAGATGCTTCTACCTTCAAGTAAAACGAAATTAGAGAACTAGTTTTATCTCTCAATATTTGCAGTTATACAGTCTCCTGTTATAGCTGTAAGTGAGAGTATCAGTTGTCTTCCCATAAATCTGAAGCCAAATTTACACTTCGAAACTTAATTTATAAAGAAGTACTTTTTCCTTTCATCAGTAACCTTTATTCTAATAATGTTAATTCTATGCAGTTAATTTCTGGCCATTCGAACGAGGAAAAGTATCTTTTAGTTCGCTTACGCCGCTAGTACGCAGTGGTGTTTGGTCGTCGCTGCGAGGTTCAATCCTACCTAAATGGGTGTAGTTATGGATACGACGTTGAATTAATTTAATGATACGGGGACTGGTTAACGTGTACAGATAGGGATTAATAGCTGAATTAATAGGCAATGCTAGTATGACTGCAAATTGTAATACAATAACACCAGATGATGTTGGACTGATTAGAAGCTGAATGGTGTAGAAATAATAAGGAAGCCAAGATACCAAATCAGTTACAATGATCGCAAATAATCGAATAGCAATTCGCTTTTCACTATCAGATGCAGTAGATACAGTAGCTTTAGCAGTCTTGTGAATTGCTATAAACATATGAGCATATAAGCTGCATGTGATTAGCCAGGATACTAAGGTAATGGAAACGTAAACAATAATCCATAAGCGATAGTAATAATTCTTAACGTTGCTTGCCATGCAAATGCTAGTGTATCGATACAATCTGTGGTTGCCATCTGTCTTCAGACCGTATGCAGTTGGTATGCAAACAAATATCAAGCAAAATAACCACGAAATCACCATAAGAACTTTGGCATAGTAAGGCGATAGTTTAACAGTGGAATAAGGAAATGCAATATAGATATACCTATCAATGCTAATAATAAACATCATTAACACTGACATTAAGCTAGCAAAACAGCATAAAAAGCAAGCTATACCACATGTTATACTTCTTAGCCAAGTTTCTGCATTATATGCATAATGATCGTGATATATTATGTCTGCAATACCGATGATTAGCATGTAAATAGACATTATTAGATCTGACACTGCCAAATTGGTAATCAACAGCATTGGAACAGGTTCACTTTCGTTAGTAACTTTAAAAAACTGAATGTAGATAACCATTAAATTTCCAATAAAGGCAAGACATCCAATTACCCAGACAAATAACTTGAGAGAATAATGAGATAAAATATCTGAGCATGTTGTAAATGCATCTTGTTCAATATATGGCTTGCAGTATCCAACTGTAGCTGGAACGATGCAACATAGATATTCTCTAGTGGATGTTCTATGTTATACATGTATCGTTGAAGCGCGATGTCATAAAAAGTTAAATAATAGTTTAGGATTAAAGTATCAGTTATTAAGAATTAGAGACTGACTTAGGAATAGACAATTGTAATACTGATACTTATTTTTAATACAATTTTTAATAGAGACTTCTTTGGAATAACAATTTAATTTTAGATTCCTGTTATACTTACATTTCTTTTAGTTCCGGGGTTAAATAAAAGGAAGAAGCAGTGATCTGAACTAATGGATTATCTACTAGAGATCTAATTAAAATAAGAGTAATGAGAAATAAGCAATTATAGTCGATCTTTTCGATGATACATTATCATATTGACGTAATTAGATAATAGTTATTTTAAAGAAAAGAATTTAAGAAACGACATAAACACATGTGATACTCTGCCTTTAGTTGAGTACTTTTTATTTTATATGCAGGTAAAATGTTTCGATTTTACTTCTGTTCCAAACTTATATTTTAATGACGAAAATGTTAAGCTATTTTAGAAATTGCATACTATGAGTCTACTATCAGGATAGTCCTCCCTGACATTAACCTACAGTAGGATTCTAAATATTGACGATTTCCTATCATCAGGAGGAACAGTAACAAAACAGTAGTTTGTCTCAGACATAACTGAGCCTAAACTTTATTGAAAAGTAAGTCAATTTATTGAAAATTTTACGTAAACATTAATTATTAGTTTATAGATAAATATTAAAAATATATGCAGTTATCTAATAAAAACATGTAAAGCATCAAAGATAACCGTTTGTAAATATATTCCTAAATAAATGATCTAATGAAATCTATGTTACGATAGCTACTCAAAAATTACTCCGTAACAACTACTTACAAAGTTTTCAATTTTGTAAAGGTTTTAAAACACCTGTTGGCGAGGATTCTGACATCATTATTATCTAGTAGTCTAGAATTAAATATGTAACATAGTACAAATAAATATCGATATTTATGTACAGTAATGGCAAATTAGGTTTTTAGTCGTCTAAGATAGGTATAAATGTTAAGGAAGATGCTAATTGTAGTGTTTACTTCTAAATACGGTATAGTCTATTTTTAGTAAAAGTCAATTTCCACTAGATTGTAGCATAACTCTAAATATGTATAATTTATATTTAACAAAATACTCTGTGGAAATCGCTTTGAATCTAGCTGAATTATATCGTAGCCCTGTCTTAACATAGAAGTAACATATTCTTATTAGTCATTTATGATTTCCTCCTGCTGTGCTTCATACATTATAAAAGCTATCTTCTTTCACCTATCTCGTTAGTTAGTTCTGCTAGTTACTTGGTAAGCTTGCACGCTTTACCTATGCTACATTACTATAGCTATTCGACTAGTCACGTCGTTATACATGCTGTAATCTCACACGGTCTTTCCTTTGCACTAATTCCAATAAACTCTATTCCTCTACTAAATTAACTCTGGTAATTTACTGTGATCATGACGAATCCACAATCTTCCGAAACATCACACTAATGTCACAAATTTGATAGAAGTACATCATGCCATTAATATAGGAAAATAAATTATGACCCTTAAAGTAAATAGGTAAGTTTATAGAATCAACGCATATATGTGTATTAAACTGAGTGTTTAATTTATAGTCATAGAAAGCGAATATTATTAAAATTTAATTAATTTACATCAATTCGTTACGAACGATGAAAGATTTGCTATACAGTTGTCACGGTACGAACTACCGTGAAGAAATAGCTATCTAAATTTGGTGAATATAATATAATGATAATATATTACAACTAGTTACCTGCAATAGGAATTACTCTAATTATAAATGTGTTACAGTAAATTTAATGCGTGCTGTAATGTGCACTGAAATGATTCTGTGAATGGACCTATTGTAGTCCGACTGTGAAAAATTAGTTAGTAGATGTTCTCACCTAAGTATTTTTATAAGATGACTCATGAATGTTAGCTGCTGTAGAAGGGTATATAAGCCCGTCAGATACTTGAATAAAGTAGTTCTCTAATGTCTAGTTGAATTTAACGTAGAAGCAAAGGCGTCTAAATTGTTGTGAGGTAGTTAAGGGATACTGAATCCCGGAGACTATAGTAATTTAGAGATATGTTTTACGTTATCCTTGTCACGAAGCTGGTTTGTGACAACAGTACTTACAGAGTTCTAATATTAGGCGCAGAAATTGATATTTGACTTTCTTGACAAATATTGGTGATCATGTTGCCGTTGAGATCACTGTTAAAAAAATATCAATTAAATCTCCTACATCTTACTCGGGAATTGTATTAGCCAAGTTATGGAAATACAGCAATCATATTAAAATAATTAAATCGAATCTGCTTTAAATGTTCGCTACTCTGGCAAGATAAAACAGTATCTATAGGATATTAGAAAAGATTCTATACAATTTTTAAACAGGTTTCCAAAGCATGAAGAAATATTATTAACTTACAGTAGAAGTAGATTATTCATTTGGTATTTTTTCCTGGTAGTTATTGTTTTTAATTTATTATTAGCCAAATAGCTTTTTATAGAAAATAAACATAAAAAGCATTCGTACTTTGAAAAAGCGATCGTAATTAAAATATCTTAATTCGAGTTTAAGCTTAGCTAAGATACTGACATGAACTCAATACTTCTCACTTACAGATTTTGTAGAACATTATTAGTAACATTGAATAAATCAGCCACATCCAGTTGGACTAAATGATTATCACTTAAGTATCTAATGTTAAGATATTAGTGTAACGTATTTAATTAAATAAACAATCATAGTATTGGATATGAAACGTTGAATTGTTTATGAATAAGAGTCTAAAAATTATCTCTATGACGCTGTTTTATCACTGTAATGTTTTAATTTTTGTTATTTAGCAAGACAGAATCTTACAATGCCCCCAAACTATCGTGAATATCTGCAAAGCTTCCATGGTTTAATTTTGTTAAATAGCTACCGCTAAGATCACTGTAAGAAAATAGTTAGAAATTTGTATTAGTAATCATGCAAATGGAATTTCTAAGTAATCATGTTAACGATTTAGAGAAAATGGTATCTTTTTGAGGAAAAAAGAGGCTGAATAGGATTTACTAATCTAATTGAGTATTAACTATACTTATTTAATTTACATGTTATTACTATGAACGCTATCAAATTGAAATATAACTTTATTGATATTCTAGAAACGATAAAGCGAAGAATTCTTGATTAGAGATGCCTTATTGTTCTATAATATTAACATCTGAAATTTAAATTTCTCTGTTGCTAAGTATATTTTCGTTCATATCAGCTGCTTTGCTGTAAAGATTGACGAGGCATTTAAAACTAAAAAATACCCGAAAATCGTTACTGCCATTAATTGGCATTCTCTGGATGCATCGATCTATTTTTGATAAAGGTTAACTATGCCTAATTATTTATATGTGTTTGCATAAAAATGTTTATGGTATCGGCAAATATAAAATCCTACACCGTGATCATGTTAAAATAGCTAAATTGTAATGCCTAAGCTTATGATTAGTATAGTGAGTGGGAATACATAATTTAGTAGAGGGCTAAATATCCTGTACAATAATTATTAAGATGCATGCTATTCATAATAACTGGAGATGAAAGAAGTCTTAAATACTTGATTTAGTGGCATATAAATACTCTTACATGGAGTAGAATTTACAGATTAGTGGTACTGGAGTTTGGAGGCAAGCTAAGTAGTTAAAGTAATACAATCCTTCGATGAAATTAGTGATAGTCTTTCTATCAACGCGATTATACCCAATATTTCTGAAAAGGAAAGAAATAAGTACTGAACTTCATAAGTGTTTAATTAGCTTTCTTAGCCGGCATAAAAAGTAGAATAGCATACATACATGGCACGTAAGCTGATCTTTGTTAAGCGAGTGATTTCTTCCGGAAATTTCGTGATTTGATTACTACCTATATTTCTAATGGAGAATAGGTTCTATTACCAAATCAAATTAAAATGACAGGTAGATAAGAATTAGCTTTAGTACGAATATTTTATTAAATGAAATCATAAATTAATTTGAATCACACCTTTAATAACAGACAAACTTGTGATAAACTGAACTTAGAATGGACTTACAATTCCGATAGAAATTTCAAAACAGCTGTTCTTTTAAGTAAAGCAGCAAATCCATCATCAAGTCTGTTATTATTTAAATTTCTAGTTTTGCGTTGAAATTGTAGTTAGAAAATACCGTACTCATAACAATTATACATAATTATAGTGACGAGAATCACACAGTCTTGGATTTACATGAGAGATTCTTACATATAAGCACTGATAATTTGAGTTGTGTATAAACTATTAATGCATGAGATTAATCAATTTTATTGAGTACTTACATTCCTTCTATTCTGGTATAATCGCCGGGACACTTTGTATCTATAACTTTGCTTATTTTATTTGACTGAAAACTTCTAAAAGTATATCACAATTGAAGAAAATCGGAATGATTTAGTCATTTCAGCTGGCAGGTTAAGCTTGATAATTCCCTACATTCAAAATTTAACGCAAATTGTGACGAAGACTAATATTTCATACACTATCGTGGTTCTTTTCTCACTATTAAGTCAGAAAATCTAATGATTTGAAGTAAAGATAATAATTTACAATTATTTTAATAACGGTAACAGATTATTATACGTCACATAAATCATTACTTCATATTACTGTTAGATTTTAAAAAAGATATTAATGTACTAGTGTAAGCAGCTAAAATCATCCCAAGTATAAAGATAATTACTATTAACCACAAAGCATATTTTAAGCTATTTTGTCAAATTTATACAGGAAAGGATTGGGCATTATACAAAATGACTGATTTCGCATCCGGCCTCGTTCATATACACAATTGAAAAAGGCGGTAGAATATGTCTTTTCAGCAATAGTTTGATTGCATAAAAATGCACGGGTTACATATCCACGTAAGACAATATTCATTGAATAGAATATTGATCTTATAAAATATTACTTTTACTGTCTATCTTACAAGAAGGCTATTTTTCTATTTATGCAAAGTATGCCGCTGTCAAACGTCGATAATTGATTTTCGTCAGCCGTACTATAAGAAACAAAAATTTCTATTTAAGGTTTCTAATGCTCTATATATTTGTGTTATACTGCAGTAAGTTACAATATGCATGAAAGTTAATTATTTACATTTTAAATAAATTTTGAGCTAATGAAAAAACTTTGCTGGATAAATGAGAGATCATATTTTTTGATAAATCCCTATAAATCGAGAGTGATAGTAGAATTATTTAAAATGCAAGATTAGCTTGTGTATTAATATGGAATTGAGTAGTATATATTATCATCTATTGCAAATTTTTATCTATAAATTCATTAGTTAGAGCAGCTATAATTAACTAAAATATTAAAATAATAAATATCTTGCTTATATTATAGCACTTACAATAACTGTAACGCAGTCAAACCTTCAAAGGATTCATTTTCAAGTTTCAATATTTTATTATTTCGAATAATTCTGCAATTATATCCGAAAATCGGCTTAAATTTGAATTTAAATAGGTTAAAAATTTTACCATATCTTATTTAACTGAGTTATTCTTATGTTAGATTATGTGAAAAGTAGCATTGTTAAATATTTCCGTAGTTATCAAAGACAATAAGGTCATAGTTTGAAGTAAAACTTACAGCTTAGTTAATTTATCAAGTTTGGTCATATTGATCTGGCTTAACGATGTTAATCCGACATTTTCAAGATATCTAAAATAAAGAATAATGAGAACTGAGTGCATAAGATAGAGAAAATATTTCTGTATTTTTATTTCTGCTTTGAAATTTCTATACAAACAAAATAAAGATATAAGAAAATATTTAAAGCAATAGCCACAGCAATATTATAGTCTTAAAAAAGTATTTTACAATTCTGTCAAATTAGAACAATTGACGAAGGCTTCAGAATCGATTTTCTGCAGGTGATTTGAGGATATATCTCTGACGTAAATATCAAGTAGGGATAAAACATAGTAATATGTAACTTAAACCAAGTTGATTTTGTCAACGAATCATAAACTGTATTAATGCTTAATTCTCAACTTTAGCTACTTTCAGATCTGATAACTTACAGGATTTTCAAGGAACGGAGTTGAGTAAATACATATTGATCAAGATTAAGAATGAAATTGGACGATGCATTGCTGAAAATACAAATCGATTTCAATAAAAATGACTTGTTCGGATATTAGATGATACTTCACCATAATTTTATGTACAGATAAATTTTATTTAAATACACGTTTTGAGTTTAGTACGATCAACAGCTTTAAAGCATTTTATTGCCGTTTCATAAATATAGTATGTAAAATTTCTTGCAATCTGTAGCTCAAATACTTACTAATATAAATCAACAAAATTTATGAGATGCTTATTATTTCTTAAACTTACACTTCTTCCAGACTTGGAATCGTTTGGAGAAATCTTAATTCCTGTAGCTTATTATTATTAATATAGCTATTCAAAATAAATGAATTTAGTTTAGGAAATGTAGTAATGTTGGCTTTGTGATATTAAATTACAATCGCTATCAGTTCAAACTGACTAGCTATCGGCAATTCGTAACTTGTGCATGACACATTTGAAATTTAAATTAAGAATCATCCACCATTACATAAAGTTATTGATTAAAGCAGACAAGCATTGGATATCATAGAGGAAACCTCAACTTACATTACTTTCAAATTTTCAGCATTTATGAAAGCTAATGGATCAATCTTATACAAACGGTTATTGGCAAAATCCCTGCATTAAATGTTATTTAAAGTAGTTTTTTATCCGCTATTTTACGAAATAAAGTTTGTTTAGCTACATAAATTTGTAAAAGGGGACTGTCGGATCTCCGAAAAATTCGCTTTATCATTACTTATTTATGTATTACTTATCACTGGCTTGTTGTTATTCTATGATTGCCTTTATTTTATAGCTATTGCTGTTAATGTTCGAGAATAAATTAATTTTGATCTGATGATAAGTTATTTCGAGCATCATTGATGAAATTAAGGTTTATTTGCATATTATTTTAACTTAATTAGGCACTCCTGATATTATAACTATTCTGGTTTCAAATTAATCACTAAGCTTTTTTTAGTTTTATGCATACAGAAAAAAATTTAAGCAATGTCCGTATTTAACGTATAATCAAGCATGATTTACATTAACTATGTAATAGATTCGTTAATCTCTTTCATAGCAATAGTACAGGATGATCAAGCTATAAGTTTTTATATTCAAAGATAATACGCCATTCAAATACTATAAATCCGAATTATAACCTACAGTTTATTGATAGTACTAATTTTTAGAGTTCGATGGATATCTTTTGCCTCTATCTTTCTTATAAGGTTGTAGTTTAATAATCTAAAAGGTAAATTAGAAAAAAAATCTTATAATAACTGTTACTACTATTACTAAAACATCGAAGGAGAGTGATTTTTGAACTCACAGTTTTGTCAAAGAAGTTAAGTTTTGAAGATTTAGTTGCGACATCGACGTTAATTGATTATATGATAGGTTGCTATTAATGGTAAATAATCGCTAATTAATGACTTTAATTATGATCCCAGGATATACGCAATGCGACAGATGATTATAATTATTGCAAGAAATTAATTAATATACGTATGACTTCTTACAATGTTCGAACAGAATTTAGTAAGTTAAAACCCTTTACAACGGATATACTATTGAAGGAAAGATCTCTGGAAGGATAATGGAAAATTGTTACTTGTTACATTATTTTATCGGTCACTATATATTTGCTGTTTACGATTATGGAATAAGCTTACACGATGGTGATATTTGTAGAAATTAATCCAGGTGTGTAGTCAACAATCTTAATTTTATTCCTGTACATATTCCTAGACCATAATAGAAAATAATACATTCTATCATGTTTAGACTACATACCTTATTGATATCGACTGTTTTGTTTACTATCAGCAAAAAATGAATTAATAATACTGTCTTTAATACGAACAGCTTTTTCAGATTTGGAATTTGGCTTATCTTCAATTTATCTAGTCTGTCAAGGTAAATGCCTCGTAAATCCCTATCATGAATTAAGTTTATCAATTCAAAAGTGTTAGGATTACAACTGAACGAATAAAATATAATGATAAATCTGCATAATGTCCTTTAGCTTAGCACTAGATCATTAATTTAACTAATTTTTTATGAAATGATGAAATGATTTTTAATAATTACTAATTCTGAGATAAAAATTTATATACTGCGATGTCAAGGCAAAGTAAAATATCTCACAAAGTTTCCAAGTTATTGAGACCATTTAAACCATCCAGTTCGATCATCTTCGCTGGGTTACTTGCTAAATTTCTGCATACAAATGTAATATTTTGAAATGGATTAGTGGAAAGAATTTTTGGAATATCCGACTTCACAGTGTTTGGTATAGGCTAAGTAATTATCGTCATTTCTTAATTTTACTTGAATCAAATAGACAGCAAGGGAATACATACCAATGTATACTAGAGTAATTATAATTTAAGAGAACTTACAGATGTTGGAGATTTGTTAAGCCTCGTATTTGATTCCCCGTAATTTTTTCGATTAAATTTTGTTCTAGGCGTCTAAAGTTTGTGAAAGAATGGAAATATAATTTATGTTTACATTTCGAAAGAATGTTGCGAAAGAATGTTGCGAAAGAATATTGAGAAAAGCACTGATGAAAACAGTTTGTAATGCCGATGATGGGCGTAAAGGTAGTATACATCAACTTTGAAGGCTTTGCTATCGGATTTATGATTAGCCTTACAAATGAATCAATGCATCCATTGATTGGAAGGTATCAGGTAAGATATCGAAAATGAAATTATCTGCAAGGAATCTATTGCCATAGAGAATTAGATAAATTAATTAAGTTATTTCAAATTAAATTAAAAAATTTTAAAATTATGATGGTAATAAACATAAAATAACATGCTCATGATCTGTAATTTGCTAATAAATAAATAATTATGAGTATAATCTACGCATAGGTATCTTAAAAATCAGCAATATTATGATACTATTGATAAGAAACAAAACGTTCAGTCGCAAAATTTTGTTAAGCATATTCAAGGAAATGTTATTAAGTTGCTATCGATATTTAGAGAAGTTAATTAAATTATTTATTGCTTAACTAAGGATAGTCTTTGCATAAGGGATTATTTTAGAAATATGAGTTCAGCATTTTAGTGGAAATTAATTGATCCGTTGTTGTAGATCTAGCTGGCTAGGTTAAAATTGTAAACGTTAACCAGAAAGTTGTATATAGGTGTAATGACCGAGTGATAGTCTCCTGTTATTATTGTAGGGTCACTTACTTACGTAACCCAAAATTTGAATTAACAAAATTGGGTAATTCCCTTATGTGATACATGAAGGTCAACACCGAAAAAATAGTCTTGAATAATAACGTTTATTGATACATCCGTCTGTCGGAGAAGATTTTCAATTTCTTCTCCTCATAAGAACAATTGAAAACGACTAAGATATACCGGATAATACCACTTAGACAAATCTGCACAAAAGTACATCTTATCTATATACAAACTATACCCAATAAATGCTTCTATTCTATAGTAGACATAATAATTCGAGACTGTAAAAGCTTGATTTAACATCTTGCTAAGATTAATAAAATAATTATACTTTAACTCTTTGTAAGACAGTGTAATATTGCATTCTAAGTTGATGATATATTTAGTAATGTCTACCCTAGGTGTTGTGTTCAACATGTGATAGATATTCTCGTTAGAGGCTTAAGTATTAAATGGAGCTCGCTTAGTAACTGTAATCCTTTTGAAGAGGAGTGCTGCAGTGCTCACGCTAGAGCTTCAAATGAAAGATGTAAACTATCCTGTATTTGAGATGCTAATACTGAAGTGTGTAGTAAGTAAGGTGCTAATACTGTAAACGCGGAAAAGTATAAAAGCGAGTAGTTTAGTATGGTAAGATAGTTCGTTCTTGTTAGAGGTCCTCAGCTAACCGATTACGTTGTATCTTCGTAAAGGAGGTTTTGTTCAATAAATCTTAATTTTCTAAAGTTTTAAAGATTCTTAGTCTATCAACCTCACACTCTTACATGGAAGGCAGTCTACATGGTCCTATATTTGGCATTAGATATGACCTTAACTAGAGAACCCCAGTCTTATACTAGAAACAGTACATGTGGGCTGTCTCGTCCTTTTAGCCACCTACTGTACTACTACAGTTAACTGAAATCAGTACAATAGGACAAGGTAGAGCAATACCGATATTATTGGTAAGGAAATAGGCTTTGGTAGAGTCATTATAAGTAATTGCAAGATATGGGTAAAATTTACTAAATCGATGAAGGATAAAGGCAGTCACTTCCATACTTTTCTTGCACCACAATTTCGATTGTTACAGTAAAAACAAAAATTATAGCTGCTGTTGTGTTTGCTATCTTAGCTAACTTTACAAGCTGCTAGGCGTCGAAGTTACGAAAAAGTAGTGAATTCTTGAGGATATGTTAATTTGCTTTTCTAATTTATAGAAATTACTTAGCTTGATCGGCTTTTAATAAAATTATGGCATCGATTATAGACAATCTCATCCTTCAGAATTTCGAAAAATGTGTAAAGAAAATGGTGACCAACTGGCTATAATTGCTTATTAATTCAATTATTATCACTTATAATTTATCAATCATTATTATCATATTACAGAGCTGTGACTGTGTTATATACTGTATTAGAGTAGAAATATCTATGTTAAGATTATTCTGTTAGCTTATCCTTATTTAGTTAACTTCTAATTTGGATATACTGTGTTTTAATATGGCACTGACTTTTTATGACAGAGACACATATACACACACTGAAATAAATAGTTATAACAGGGAATGCAAATCATCTACTTACAGTTCGAATCTTTGTGATTGTAACTTACTTATGCTAGATTGTAAATTATCGTGGAAATGTTCCGTGATAAGACATATCGTAATCTGACTATTCTGTATTAGTCATCAGATGTCTATGTTCGTAAATACTGTTGTCTGTATTAAGGGATCAGTAGCTATAATTAATATCTAATTCAGTAAATGATTCCAAAGTTAATCATACTAACTATGACTCAAGGACTATAGAGGAATAGTATGTAAATGTAGTATATCGTACAATAAAGTGGATTCTCAAATTTAGTGTTTGACGTAAAATACGAGGCGTTTAAGTCTTTGTGTAGTCTGCTAGTAGAGCAAAAGTGTTTGTGATAGTGCAGATATCGTTTCTTGATACGTGGTTCAAGGAATTGACTTATTGATCGCACATTACGTTAACTTGTTGCAAAGCTGTTTTGTGGCAAGAGCATAAATACTAAAGATTTGTCTGAGGGCTATTACTAGAATATACGAGGTATATGAAGGCTTCTATTTAAGAATAAAACTAAGGCTATTCAGTGTGCTGTATTAATTGTGAGCATAATTTAAACTACAATTTCAGTTTCTAGAGTGTCAGAAAATTATTACTACGTTCATAATGGATTACGATACAGTCATAAAAATAATAGCTATAATAATGCACCATACACTAGTATTGCATTCGCTTTTAGTATAGGTTGTGTTCAGATTTTGTCTAAGAGAAACTAGTGGTTAGAGATTACTGTTCCTCCTGACGATAAGAAATCGTGAATATTTAGATTAGATACCAGCATGTAAATAGGTGCCAAGGAAGACAAGTATGACGATAGACTCGTTGTGCTTAGTTTTTGGCAGTGATTTTAATATTTCTGACTTTTCAGGTTTCAATTCGTGACAAAAATTTAGATAGATAAATTGGGATAAAATTAAGAGTATAGAGCTACATTTAAACACAAAGATCTAATATACTGGGTCGCATTATTCTTTACAGCAGTAAACTGAACATCATCCTGTTTGTATAACATTGATAGAATAAAGTACATCAGTGTGAATTTGCATAACATGTGAGTCCCTAGTAAGGATCTAAATGATTGGTCGTTAGGTGTTGCAAAGTATACTAATCAACTATTATAGTGCATTGTATGAGTATAAAATTAAAATTCTAGCAGTTTACCTGTCAAGTATTTTCTTATCGTAAAAAAATACTAGAAATATCATTTTCCAATACTTACAAATATTTCAAGTTTCTTAATCCCCAAAAGAGCCTCTTCTCGAGGAATTGTATATTATTTCCTGATAAATCCCTATTAGAACAAATTAGATATTTAAAAAAACGTAGACTATACCATTGGTAATACATTGATGTGCTAGTCCTGATTTTTAGAACGTTGTTATTCAGAAATGCTTGTGTTAGTACATCATTGTATTTATTATTAGGAGTATTGGGTTTAATATCAGTTATTGAATACTTTACCGAAAAATAGTCTACGATTGTTATAATGTTTTGGTGCGATATAGTAGCATTCTTTCAACATTTTTGTAGAGATATTAAATATTTTTAATGCTTTTTAGTCAGGATTACGATAAGTTAAGTAGTAAGAAATTTAAATTAAATTTACCGCAGGCTATATTTTGCATAGAGGCAATTGCGTACAATTTTATAATCTACTTTTGAGTGTACATGAATAATACAGGTCATTCTACTATATAACTAAGTTTGCTTTCTAAACTAGTGAGAGTTAATTGGTATGTTTCGTGAAATGATTAGTAAACAATGTTTGATTAACATACAGAACTTCCAGTTTCTTTAGATTACGAAACGGTGATAGACCTTTATTAGAAAAATTACCAACGGAGTTAAGATCCAAGTATCTGTCGAAAAGATTTCATATTTTTTACAGTAATGTGATCAGTACGTTAGCTACACATTGTAATCTATACTGAATGGAAAGCTCAAACATACAGTTCTTTCAGACTTTGTAAGGCCTCAAATGGTTGATTTTTGATAGCAATATTGTTCTTACTAAGCTTTCTGTAATGCAATAGTTAACAGTTTTAAAAATTATTTAGTAATTGACGCACAACGGTGACATTTATCACACTTTTCTAGCTGTTATCGTTAAAGAAATATTGTGCCAATATGAAAAAGTTACAAGTAATTTTCATATTTGGTTAGAAAACATTGCAACATGTACCCTGATAGTTAATATGACGTTATCAGTACAATTTTTATGACAATGCATTACCTAAATTAAAGTATTTAAGAAAGTATGGTAGCTCACTGTGCAGTGTTGCAGTGTTATAGTACAGGAAATGCTATGATTTGTAGTACTTACAACTACAGGAACTAATACGCTATAGCAAATCAATATTACTCTGGTTTAATCTGGAAAACGAAAGCTATGCATGCTATTTGTAATGCGATACAGCTACTAGCCAATAAGGCTTTGTAATAACGTCGGTAATTTAGATAAGATTATTCTTTTTAAATAAGTTTATCTTTATATCTAATTATCCATTAAGGGATGTCTGGTAATTCTTTGTTAATTTAAACGTTTATTTATGAGTGTATTTATTGGTTTAAAATAGTTGATTTTGAGGGAGAATAGTGAGTAGTGAGTTTACTAAATAAAGCTTTTTTGTAGATTATGGTACTGTGTGTCTACTGATTGCGAGCCTTTTAGAAGGATAGTTCTTAGGCGTTGCAATAGAAGTCCTATATTCTGGCTAAATCTTTTGGTCGATTAGGGCAATAATCTGTAGAGGTAACTCAACCTAAGGGCTTTACATTAGACTAGTAACCATATCAGGAAGTAATCCGTGACAACGATCGATGGTATACATCTTAAAAATGCGATGCTAACTATTTCAGTAGAACTTCGTTAATCACTTGTACTCTGATTTAGAAATTGTAGTAGGATTAACTAATAGCAGTAGATGATCATTTTATAAATTTCTAGTTTTAATTAGTATGGCGATGATACCTTAGTGCTTTTGCCTGTTATTTAATTAAAAGTGTTTGCAATTCGCTATAATGGAGTACGATACAAGAATTACTTAGGAATAGAAGCTGCCAGAAAGGAGTTGATGTGACATTATGTAGTTAAATATTTGAATAAAATCTAGCAGAAGTTACCATACCTCAAAGGGTATTTACTTACAGTTTGGATAAATTTGGTAAATTGTAGAAGGCGTCTTCAGCGATGTCGGATATTATGTTATTTTGTAGTGAGCTACAAAAACACAAAATCTAATTAATTTCTAGTTTCAGAAACATCTAATATAGAATATGGAAATGATTGTCCTAATTAGTAGAAATTAATCTTAATAGTACAATAGTAGCTGTTATCAAAACTTGAGATAATTTAAGTATGGTAGTAGAGTCATAAAAGTAGGAACTCTCAAAGTCTCAGTACTTACATCTCCGTCAAATTAGGTAGATGACAAAAGCTACATTTCACCAAGCTCTTGATAGCATTGTTAGCTAGTGAGCTAATAATAAATCGTGATAGCCAAATTCAGTAATAAAGCATCAGTTATGTAGCATGGTGTCAAAAGAATTTGTAAAATTTGTAATTACATGATTACAACATTAGTCAAATTGGACAATTCGTTCTTTCCCAAGACTGTAATGTTATTATTATCGAAGTTTCTAAATCAAAATAATCCAAGATTAGCTTTAAATAGTTAATTATGACGAACCAATTGTTGCAAATATTGAGTTACAGAGTAATTGTAGTGTCTTTTTTGCATAACAATGCTTCTATGACTAAGTCTGAATCTAGAAATGCTACAGTTGCCAATTAATTTATCGTCCTATCAACCGTAAAATATATGAATACATTCTGCACTAACAGTTCAGAAAGGAAACGTAAATTCTTTATCAGACCATCAGTATCTCCAGTAAATTGATTATAGGATAATTTCCTAAGACGAAATTACGATCAGTTTATTTTCAGAAAGTGGCATTAGTAGCATTAAGTAAAATTTTATTAGTTAATAGTATGCTAATGCACACTGAATAAAATCGAAAGCATGAAAAGGTTTCTACAAATTTATGATGGAAATGACTAAAAGTAGTGTTGCAGCATTCATTAATTAATGTCTATATTGTTATCATACATAGTACGTATGTTAGAAATTGGTCGGAAAATATCATGGCTGCTCTTGCTGATTCTATTATAGCCTAGATTACTGTTCATAAAGCGAAGATTGACTTAATAGTTAAGTATCTTAGAACAGTTATTGATTCCTATAACAATTAGCAAGTCTCTTATTCATACAGATATGTCAAGGAGCTTAATCCCACAAACGTTTGTTCATGAACAGATAATATGAAATTGCTCTCTAGGTTTCTATTTAATGAAGCAACAATTAAGCAATGAAATTTTTGTTAGTGAGTAAATCAGTTTTTATCTTAGAGAAGTATATCAACACGTCTGTTTGATTATATCGGAATGGAAAAATTTATTCCGTATCATATTACTGATATTTAAAGAAAAGATTAATGGGACTTAAAGTCTATGCAATTATGCTCTTTACTTACAACAACTGTAACTGTTTCAGCGGTTTAAAAGTCCCATTCTCTATTTCATCAATTTGATTTCCAGTTATTTTTCTGTGAGAGGAATGAAATGAAATTAATATCTATACTTTATTATATATCTCTGTAATGTAACTAGTATTGTGATTGTAGACTGTTAGCCATGCTTAGTATAATGTACGGTAGATATTTATCCTAAGAGATATTTGGTAGCTATAACTATAGACTGTAGTGATATAGACTCTATACTCGAGTACAGATGACTATATACAGTAAGGTGTTAAGTTACTAATAAGGCTATAGGTAAAAATAGAACTATAAATCATATATTAGGATATGCTTAATTCATTGTACTTTGGCTGGTGTGAATAATGTCTACGTAAGTACTGTAGTCGTATCCATATTGGATTAATGATGGTCCGTAGTAGAATAGTCTTACTAAGAATAATTTAACTATGTGTAAAATAAGGTAAAAGGTTGCCATGCGGATTGTAGCTGTGAATGCTACGGAAAGTATAAAGCATGCAACTTTAGATTATTCTGTTAGTTCGTTGTAGAAGTCTTTAGTAGTAGTATTCGACTAGAGTAGAGCTGTGTGTAGTTAATCTTTGTATAAGATTCAATAAAGCTCTTATTTTTCTAAAATTTGGAATTTCGTGATTGGTATATATCACAATCTCAAATCTGCAAACTTACAAATTCTTTAGCCTAGATAAGCCAATAAATGTTTCATTAGAAAGGTACTGAATCTTGTTTTTGTCTAAAATTCTATGCAAAAAATTAAAAAATGTTAGTTAAGTTAATCTATGCCAAACTTTTTACTTACATTTTAATAATGTTTTCATCGAACTGATTGAAATTTTATTGAGCAGAATTAAAGCGCATTTCGTATTAGAAATTAAAATTATTAATTCTCATTCAGGACTGCTCAATACAGACTTATATAGATAATTTGCTGATATTTTCTCAATTCTTGTTCATAAATTTTAATATTTGATTGCTATTGAAGAGCTTTATCCATTTCACATCTTTTGATGAAGATTGCTAACAATTTTTTGATTAAGTTTACTCGATCAAATGCATACGTAAGGATAAAATACCGTTATGATGCTTACAATGTCTGCAACATTTGATAATTTTGAAACGTTCCTTGACCTAAGGAAGTTAAAGAATTTCCGGATAGGTCCCTAATGGCGCAAGAAGTATTTTTAAACGGTTCCAAAAAGGCAGTAATATGTGATGATGTATTCTATGATCACGTAAAGACTATGCAACTTTTATTCCGATTATGCTACAATTTTTATGCAATATTATTACATATGGTAGCTTGGTATTGATTATATAGAGTGTGATAAGCCATAAAACAATTAACATCTAAAATTAACTCTACTCGATTAGTTTTATAGTCTCTTATATTAAGCATAAATAGGAGCGATTTCCTCACAAAATGTTAATTTCTTTTTCGAATCTTCGCCAACATAATTATCCAATACAATACTCGATATTTTGATGTACAGTATAGCTACTAACATTGATAGAGTAACAACTACTGAAAGAAGAATTGCAACTCCGTTTACATTTAGATTAAAGTGCAGAAAAAATTATTTATCATTTTGCTAATTAATTTACAGCAGAATCGGTACTACACAGTAGAGTTCACTGGCCATGTTATTCATATCAGTTGTAATACTTTAAAAAATTGATTAAGGATCTTATTAAAAACTTTATTAATACACTTACATTGTCACCAACGATGTAATATTTTTGTTGATTAATAACTTGATATCGATGTTGTTATTACCAATGGTGTTATAGTCCAAAGTACTGAAGCCCAGGTAATAATACAAATGATAACTTTAGTAGCTACTACATGTAAAAGCAGTAAGGAATTGAATCAGCGCCTTACACTGTTTTCAGAGCAGGCAAACGTCCGACTGCCCTAGCGAGATTATTGCTACCAAATTGACTCCTAGTTATTTGGCTACCATAGTATACGGAATGGGACATATAGAAATGATCATTAAACAATTTATTTGTAATGCAATTTTGGTAATCATCGTATTAATTAACGCTGTAATTTGCTTACATATGAGAAAGTTTCGAAGAATTTGCGAATAAATCTTCCATTTCAGATGTTACTATCACGTCAAGGAATATTCTAAAATATAGTGATACAGTACTTTTAATAAGGGAAAACAGACTATAGATTAATCATGTAATTTTGGTACTTATTTCATTCATTATCTGTACTGCATTAGCGCCTGCAAATCTATGTATAAGTATTTGAATACTCGTAAAAGGCATAAGATTTTTAATTATCGCATACGTATAAATTAGTCATATTGCATATTCAAAGTAAAATAGTGGTATATAACATTTTCTTATTGATCTTTTGGATTATTGCAATGAATTAGCTGTCAGTAAAGAAAGAGGATTCTCTGATTTAATATTTTTTATAGCGTGAGCTAATACATAGAATTAAGTTATTGGCTTTAACTGCGCATTTTCGGTAACTGATTAGGCATTTCGCAAATTACAATATATTTTTCAATAAAGAAGTCTTGGAATTGATTAACAACCTAAGTGACTTAACATGGAAAGGCCAATCTTTTTTATCCAACCAAAAACATCGAGAATCAAAATTAAAAGAAACGTCATTTTAAAATTAATTATTAACAATCATTAACATAGTAACCATGCACACAGTTGAAAATATGAAAGTGTACTATTATTTGAGCTTTACTGCGCTGTATTTGGGTCTATATAGGGAATTAACGTAGCCAAGGTATTCCGGCTTAATATCTGTCAAAATCAAGCACTGATGTCGTTCGATATATTGAGGCCCTATTCAGTTCTATCTAAAAGACTCGTGATCATACGAATATTAATGTACTAACTACCATGAAGAATTAAATGACTAAATTTCGCGAATTTAATATTTCTAAATGGAGATTACGATTAATTTCTTACTGCAGTAATCATTAACAATTATATAATTTATAAAGTATTATAGTAAATTACACTTGGTACTGAAAAAAAATTCTTATGTAGTTGTGGCTGTAATTCTGACTAATAGTTGACCGTAAGTGTACTGAAATGATTCTGTGAATAGATATCTTGTATTGTAGTCTTACTATGTAAAATCAGTTAGTAGATGTTCATATTTAAAACTATTGTTATAAGATGATTTATTAAAGTTAGCTGCTGTCATAAGGTATATAAGTTTGGCAGATAGTTGAGTAAAATCAGTTTTCTAGTTGTGCAATGTGGAAACAAAAGCGTCTAAACGCTTATAAATAGTTTAAGGATAGTAAATCTCGGAAGCTTGGGAATTTAGAATATGTTTTTATGTTATCTTATCACAAAGCCGGCTTGTGACAATGAATCATAACAAATAGAAGTAAAGATAGCGCAATAGTCCTCCAAATTTGCTTGACCGTGAGAGCATGGAATATGCTACCTTTATTATTTTTATTGCATGATGTATTTTTTTGTAGGTACTAGCACAATGAAAGATATACGATGCATAGCAGATAATATGGCAGCAAGCAGTTTCATAAAGATCAGCATAGGGAAATTTCTTTTGTAGTACTTACAAATGCTTCATTTCACGACAAGCCGCAAAAAAATTTGGTTTTATAGTTTTAGCTTGAGAGAATCGAAGAGTCCTGTTAAGATAAGTAAAGGGAGCAAGATAATTATTTCCTACTTTGTAGATCTTAATTGATTTGTAAAAAATGACTGCTTTCGGTTTAGCGAAAACGGTAAGAATCAAGTACATACACTTCCTGAAATACACCACAGTCTACTATTGGATCTAAAAAATCGGAGGTAACATCTTGAATTATTCTAATTAAAAGTAAAAGGAAAAAATTAGCTCAATTTATGGATTGCTTCTATTTTATTTACAGCAAGAGCATCATTACTTAACTTCATGGTTTGGAAATTAAATTTACTATTTGATATTAATAAAAAAAAATTTATTTAAACCTTATATGCAACGTTAACATGATTTGTAAGCATAGAATAATTCTATTTAATCACTAAAATAGTCCCATTCAGATGTAATAGTTGACAGTGGGTAATAAAGCACAAATTGTTAGAGCAGTTTTGTCTTCTTCTGATCAAGCGTAGACATCAAATATCTGTTTTTACATGGCATTATTACATTATTTCCCGTAAATGCTCCATTTATATTTAAGATAACTTTACGGACACAATTAGAAGGGAATAATTTCTAGTTAATTAAATCAATTGAGGTCATAAGAATACTTGGCTATATATATAATATATCTAATAAATAATATAAATCCAATTCAATTTTTCAATTTAAGATATAAGTAGTAACTTCGACAATTAATTGAATTAAATTGTCAATTGTTTGAAACATAATATATAGTTAAATCAAATTACGAGATAGAAAATTATGTTAATTTATTATAGAGATACGATCTAAGACTATCTTGGATCTACAAGGATCTTAGGAAACTAACATTTATTAAATGCCCGTACTGTAGCTGAAAGTCAACGAAGTATAGCTTTAAATAATTAAATATAGATTTGTTTCAGGCATTTCTTTTCGTAAATTTTAATTCAAAATGTTAAGCATCCTTAAGAGATCGGCGTGCATAATAATTCAGCATAGCTTGATAAATGATGGGTTATGCTTATTTTTTATTGGCACTATTTGACAACTACGACGCAAAATTACGTCATTTTTTGCCTTTTAGAGGTCGCAAGCTTAAACTTTTACGTTGAAATTAACGGGGTTAACCTACAATTTCGCTCAAAGATAAGGCTTCAAATTTATAAATTTACTCTTTATACACCATGAAATAGTTTCATAGGTATTGTTACATATTAATACTAATCACGTTGTCGTATTATGTTCTAACTTGCGGCTTTCGGCCAAGTTAAGCTCAGATTCGGACCTCCTTGCTTGAATACAAAGAACTGTCCATTTATTTTATATGGCGTCCGTCGACAATTATCGGAAGCAATCATTAATTCATATGACTGGAATAATGTTATAATAATAAAAGGTACCGTATTTCTCATAGCAAGTGAAATTAATAAGCTCTCTTAAAGTAGAAAAAAGACGGTCACTATAGTGTCTACTTCTTAGTAAAAGTTAATTTTAATTATATTATAGTATAACTCTATTTACGTTCTATTTATACTCTGATCCAATTGTATTATGGAAATACATTAAGATCGAAGTATGTCAGTCTTATTACTCGTTCGCGTATATGAATAATTCTCTCATAATATGATTCTTGTGTTATATGAATTATCTTTCTGCATATATCTCTTTTATTACTTCTGCTAGTTACACACGGGAAGCTGGCTAGCTTTATTGACCGCTATTCTATTTTAGTATATACGCGTATGTTGAACATATATTATACAATGAAGACCAGTATTTCTCTTATTCGTTTTTCTTGTAATTTCTGGAGAATATAGCGGACTCTTAATCTCCGAAAAATCACAATCACTATGATACTTAAATCATTGTTATAGAAATTCCGTCCTATAATGTCTGTTAAATCTAATAAAATAGCACACGTACATATAATTAAAATAAAAATTTTACGACGCACAATATTAATTTAGTCGAAATACTGTAATAGTTACATCAGTACATTTTTTCGCTGAAAAGCATTTACAGATGAAATTTTACTAACAAAGCTAATATAAGGGGGTCATTAAAACAGTTTTTCAGTTAGTGTTATTTTGCTCCTTTATGTACGCCAATGCTCTAATCTAAATAAAAGCTTGAAAATCCGTGTAACGCTTTGCAACCAGTAACTAGAAACTACCCGAACGTTTTGGCAATATGATTCTATTTTGAAAAGTAGTATTGTATTAATAAATATTATGGATGCATACTACCTAGAATTACTCTAGAATTTGCTTAAAATCGATTAAGCCATAGAAAATACGGATAGGAAAATTTAAGCTCGCAAACTTTAGTATTTTTGGCAATCAAATTATTTAGTTTTAGCAGAGTTTTCAAACATTACCAACTGCTATAATATCTGACTCTATATGGATATTTTAAAAGCAATATAAGCAAATCAGTTTTTAAGCAAAGGCGATGCAGAGATTTCAGAGACTGCAGCATGCTCGCTTAGAAACTATGCTGGCTTAAGCTATCGACTTACAGTTTTGGTAATTTTGACGATATATTAATGTTGCCATTACTGTCTTGTGGAAATCCATTGCAAATTAACCAAGTAGATCGGCGATTAATGCAATTAATTTTTGCCGATGTAAAGTTGATATTAGCTGTTAATAAATAATGGAATTAGCATTAAATGCGACAAAATATTCTGTTTTACATTTCCTAGTTGTGCATATTTTATGAAATAAAAGGGAATTTGCGCTATCATATAATCTGAAAGGGTAGAGATGAGCTTCTTTTTTCATCAAATATCTAATATAGTTGGATATTAAAGAAATTTGACCTTTAAGATCTACCCTTCACGCTACTTTGTCACAGAATCGATTTATGATAAATTTTTTGGGCGAAAGTTGTACTTGAATTAAAATATTTAAATTGCAATTAAATAAAATTTGATAAACAAATCTATAACGTGAATGCCATCGGATTGATACTGATAATTTAAAAACGTTAAAGGATTACTGGTTGTTGTCGTGAGGTTAGGTATAGATATGCATACATGCATGTATATGCTTTCGTATATCGTAATCAAATTGTTCGCAGTATGCACGTAAAATATGATCAGAGTTGGTGACAAACATACTTTATTGTGCTAACTAATAATAATTGCTACGGTTACAGGAATATAAGTAAGTAGGCATTCAAGCATTAAAATTCAATGATAAAAAGCTCTTAAGTTTTTGATACGATTAACATTATTCGACAATGCCTAACATTTCTAAAGCAACAATATTACATAAGAATCTAAATTATGTGATACTGCAGTCTATGAAGATTGATAGTGCAGTAGCGGAAGTGATGCTATAAGATACTATAACTTCTA